CTCAGCGTCTTAAAAAAACCGGTCAGTGTAAAACGCAGACTGCGGACTGCAGACTGCAGACTGCGGACCAGGGGTAAAATGCAGACTGCAGACTGAGAGTAAAACGCAGGAGGTCAAGTTCAAAGATTGTCATTGGTGCATTTCGATCCATTTCAAACAAGCGTTTTTGAGAGCTCCTTTTGTCAATATTTACCTAAAATTGCACGTTTGGCACCTACACTTAAACTCATATGATAATGCTGATATTTTTCCCACGGGGCAAAATCTTGGTATGCTTCGTCAAAATAACGTACATTTGTTGTTTTGTAAGCCATCTTAGGCCTATAAACCGGCATAAAATGTCATAATATACATGTAGGAATTCTTCATCTGCTCGTATATTATGCAAATTTAAAAGCTCATTTACAGCGGGGTTGTCGATTTCAGCAATTTTCAAAATCATAAAGAATACAATTCACTTCTGGTCAAACGAAGCCCGTTTTGAGTTTGGAGTCTCAGCAACCAAAAGGCTCTTTAATAAAGACTGAATTCAGCTCAATTTCCTTTTGGGTTTTCGTCATGGTCATATGTTAATGAAGATTGTTGTCACGCAATGACAGCGGAAGGAGAAAGCAGGTTGGTGCCTCTTAGTCAATGTAACAGGTGAGCGTTATTACGGCTCGATTCGAGGCGATGTCACTTAACGAAAGAAAATATTACACTGAGAGAGCGAACTTACAGGGGCACCCAACGAGAATATAGTTCAAAACCACTTAAACATAGCATTGTTAAACGTATTTTAGTATTTAAACGGTAGATACAGGCATATTTTTATCCCCTAAAAATTTTTCATCTGTTCGGATTTCCTAGTGATCCGAAAATTATAGGGATCAAAACTTACCTTTTCGAAAATTTCAGCCAGCAAAAAGGCTCCCGAAAATTCTAAGTGGCCTTTTTAGGATAAAAATCCGTTAAAAATAGGCAAATATACCATTTTTTGGATGTTCGAAAATCCTAGGAGAGGCAGGCAAGCAAGAAATTTTACAACAAATGTTTCGAAAATTCTAGATCTCAAATCGTCTTCCGAACAGATATTCTTCCGAAAATTTTCATTGGGTGCCCCTGAACTTACTTTGCAGCGGGCTGGGTATTTTGGTAAAACTGCCCAGCAAGGTGAAAAAATGTTTGTATGTCCGATACATCGTGCGAACCTAGGGAAGGACTGGGGTAATCCAACTGGCCGCACGGAATGCCGATATCCATTTCTGTGAAATATCTGTTCGGAGAAGCAAAATTGCCCAGAATTTTCTGTAGCTTGAGGAAGACTAAAAATTTATTAGATGACCGTTCCACGCATGTACATATTTTGAAGCTAATCTAATAAATTCCCACGGTTTTCTGAAGTTTAATTTTTCCTATTTCACACCCCAGGTTAAGCTGTTTTTGGTAGAGAAAGGAAACCTAAAATTCTCGGAACCGAAAATGCGATACAGAAAGGAATCAGAAAAATCCTCACTTTCGTAAAATTTTAAATTGCAGCTAACATTTTCGAGAAAAAAGACTCACGGTTGCCCTAGTATGACCCAACAGATAAAAGTTTTTTTTTAGCGCCACTTGGAATACATTTCTAGAGATCTAAAAGTACTCTGGATAGCCTAAAAAGTGTTCTCAATCCATTTAGGAGGAAACTGTCGTTGCGTGCCCCTGGCATATAATAGGAGTTAGGATTTTTTTCTGGTAATGAATCAATTTAATTACAAGCAGTGTGGCACTTTACGTGTTCTTGGGCGTGGACCGTTCGATTATTGATGGGGGTGGGGGCTGCATTAATTTTGGCTTCTAGATAAAGTTGTATATATGTATGTATATAATAGAAGTAGACTGATGGGACTGGATTATATCTTGAACATTTATTGCTACTCAGTGAGTCATGCCTCTTGCGAGGCGAATCATCAGGTAAAACAAAACAATAAATGCCAGGCGTGGCGTAGGTGCGTGGCGCGTCGTACTTAAGTGATGCGTACAACGTGTCAAATTTGCGACAAGAACTAACCAAGTTAGGACAGTGTTTAGTAGAAATTTCTTTGAGTGCCTGCAACCTGAGATCAGTTCATTTCTATTGTCCAGGGTAGACATTTCAGGTTTACAAATTATAAACAGCGCAACGAGCCACGCGCAACGCCTAGTATTTACGGTTCTGTTTTACCTATATCTTTGATTGTAACCGTTAATTTTGGCAGTTGCCTGATGATTACCTCGCAAACTGTAACTGAACTGAAACTCTGGGTAGCAACAAATTTTCAAGATTTAATCCAGTTTCATCAGTCTACTTCTATTCTGCTCTAGGTTAACTATTGAGCACTTGAATATATTTATATAGATATTTGCGCCTTATAAGTTTTTGAAATCGCCTCATAAGTTTTTGAGCACTATCGATGAGGACACCACTCTGGCACTTCGTTGTATGTATAATATATATTATCCTTCCAGCCCTGTAAAATTCTTTTTTAATCTCGGTGTCCTTGTCCTCCCCCCACCCCCTATCAATAAGGTAATGGTTCACCCTTTATTTGTTTATGCAAAGAAAGGGATCGATACGGGAGGTATATTGCGTGACAAAAATGCAAATTAGCATATGACTGAGGGCGTGTATGGGACAAACGTTCAATCTTACCCGCACTCGGAAAAATATTACAACAGACATACCCTTCACCAAACTTAAAGTGATTCATAATAATTTCTCAAGAGCTACACGAGAAAAGTCACCCGAGGTGAGAGAATCCGGCATGTTGAGCATAAATGAGGGATAAACACGGATGTGGGAATTCAAATTCAAATCATGTCAAATGCTCGAAACGGAAAAAGAAACTCAAATGGAATATGAGATAAATTTCTATTTTAAAAAGGGTATCCAGTTGCTGAGTTTCCAAGCTGAAGATTGATTACATTTGAGAAGAAGTTAATAACCATACGTAGTTTGAGATTTTAACATGCTGAAATGGACAACCTGTCTAAAAACAAGCACGATTTGCATATCCGACGGGTTGATCAAGAATGTCAGTTTATGGCATTTTTTTCGGCTTTCATTTATACAAACTTAAAAAGACTAGTGAAAAGAAAACACATGTTGGTAATTTTGAGGATACACAACAACATTCTCAGCTACCGAGAAAATATCTACTAAATTAAAGTCGTTGTGCGTGAACCGTTAAGCGGGCAAATCTATGCAAATAATGCCGAAAAGAGGCTCTTAAAAACGTTTGATCACGTCCAACCCAGAACGATACCCGCACCTTTGACTTTATTTTCTGACAGAATAAGGTAAGATCTTTGCTGTGAAGTGCATTTTACCTGTGATTTTTGTACCGCTTTGGAGATTTTAGCTTTTACTTTGGAAGAATTTGTCAAGAGGGAAAAAAAAACGCAAAGGGGCTTGTGTTTGATGTTATTAATTTAATTTAATTTTGCGTCAAGTTATTCCATATTCCGTCATAGGACAAGCCACAACTGCAGCTAAATCCATTGTACTGTGTAGAATTTCGCGATATTTATCCGTTACGAAGAAGCGCGGCTTTTAAAATCACCGAATTTCGGCTATGGAATAAGGTTGAAAAAGCGCTCTCAGACAGGAAAGAAGTTTTGTGCTGTAGCGAAGCCCAGGAAAGAATTTTGAAAAAAATTAGTTCGATTTTAATCATTCCTCATTAAGTCCTTTTCACCCACAAAAAACAAAGGGAAGGTTTACTGGCGATCCCAAACTCGCCGGACCGCTCTTAGGTGGACAGCCACTTAAATAAAAACGTGAGTCAACCGTTCCGGCCAAATTCAAGCGAGAAATGATGATACAATAGCCTAAATACTGTATTCAATATATACTGTGTGGCATTTCGCCACCCCATTTTTAGTTTTCTTTTCTTTCCTGGACTCGACAATGAGTGGTCACGTGACACAGATATCTACCGGTTTTATCGGAGGTTGCCAAATTTTGTAAGGTTCTGATAAATTTTCACAAAGTTATGACCATTATAAGATTTTATGCAAATTAGCCTCAGGCCATGCCTTAATATGCTTGAGTCTGTCCGAGGACCCTCAAGCGACGATGAAATGTGATCTTCATGCAAGATATAATAAGGCAAGTGCTTAGCTCCTCGTGCGTTCAAAATAATTTGTGGACTTCCCACGTTCGAGTTTATAACTTCCTCTTTTCAAAACAAATTATCTATAGAAAGTTCCCTCTTTCTTAAACTTAATTGTAATATATTCCTATACATAATTATTTGCGTTCTACTGATAGGTTTTCTTTATAGTCTTAAATCATTATGTATGTATTTTTATTTTATTCGCGCATTATTGTAAAAACTAATATAATGTACATTTGGTATTTGTAGCTATACATGAGCAGGAGATCTCAGCAAGCTCTGCTGAGCCTTTCAGAGGAGATTCCCAACTTTACTTATCAATTTAATTACTAACATATTGTTTGCCACTTAATATTACAATATAAACTCTATCGAATTTTTAATGAAATGATGCAAGCTTATCAATGTTAGGAATTTTAATGTACTGTCACATGCCTTTCAACCTTTTAGACGTTCTTTTAATTCTTCCAATATAGTTGTTCCTAACTTAAACTTCTACAAGAGAAACCACCTTTTTCAAAAATGCAAAGAAACCTAAAAACTAAAAGATTTCTTGTAAATACAAGACTGCATGCAGATACATGTTTTATAGACTAAGATTTCAACAAACAGAACTCATGATCATTTACTTCAACAAGTTAACTGCTTTTAAATGTAAGTAGCTTTATTCTGATGATCCGGGTAACCGAAATCTTTCGTAACTTTGTATTCCTGGGTAAGTCCATTTAACCGAAACAGAATGTTTCGTGGAATCACAGCTACGATAGCATCAGCTTAATTTACAATTTTAAATGACACCTGACCAGACCACAGAGTCGTTACGTATAAGAAAAAGCTTTACATTTTGAAGAAAACCTTATTGTATTCGTAGCTATTTCTTAAGCCAAAAGCTTATTATTATTAACGTTTCTAACTGGCTTCCTTATTTTTTTATTTAAGATTAACTCTATTTCCGTAGAACTATTTGCTAATTATTCTGGTCTTGTTTTTTTACCTGTTTATGTTTTAGAAAAGACCCAAATGGGCACTGTTCAAGAAACTATTCACCATGGCATAATTGCCGCCGATTTTCTTTGGACCACTAAACGAGTTGTCCAGGCTATCGAGCTGTGGAACGAGTGCTTAACACTACTAAACAACAAAATCTTAGAAAACGAACATGAACTTACCACAATAGTGCGTATAGCGCTGAACAAGAGGCTGTTTTATGGAAATGCTGCTATTACGAAACTTTCACCAGCTATAGAATCTGGCAAAAAGCTTTTAGTCCTACTTCGTAATCTTAGGAGAAAAGAAAAAGAAGGTAACACAGCCTTGATGTTATCAAAACTGTACTTTCAAAAAAGTGAATACCAGGAAGCACAAGCAGTCCTCAAAATTGCACTCTGCGTTTACAAAGAAATCGAACACAAAGACGGAGAGGCGTCATGCTGCGGAAACCTAGGAAATGTGTTTCAGTCTGTCGGAGAATATGCCAAGGCTGAAGAATATCTTCATAAAGCACTTACCATCAAGACAGAAATTGGCGACAGAAACGGAGAAGCGACATGCTACGTAAACCTAGGAAATGTGTTTCGATCTGTCGGAGAATATGCCAAGGCTAAAGAATATCTTCATAAAGCACTTACCATCAAGACAGAAATTGGCGACAGAAACGGAGAAGCGAAATGCTACGGAAACCTAGCAGCTGGGTTTCTATCTGTCGGACAATATGCCAAGGCTGAAGAATATCTTCATAAAGCACTTACCATCAAGACAGAAATTGGCGACAGAAACGGAGAAGCGACATGCTACATAAACCTAGGAAATGTGTTTCGTTCTGTCGGAGAATATGCCAAGGCTGAAGAATATCTTCATAAAGCACTTACCATCAACACAGAAATTGGCGACAGAAACGGAGAAGCGACATGCTACGGAAACCTAGGAAATGTGTTTCAATCTGTCGGAGAATATGCCAAGGCTGAAGAATATCTTCATAAAGCACTTACCATCAAGACAGAAATTGGCGACAGAAACGGAGAAGCGACATGCTACGGAAACCTAGGAAATGTGTTTCATTCTGTCGGAGAATATGCCAAGGCTGAAGAATATCTTCATAAAGCACTTACCATCAAGACAGAAATTGGCGACAGAAACGGAGAAGCGTCATGCTACGTAAACCTAGGAAATGTGTTTCAATCTGTCGGAGAATATGCCAAGGCTGAAGAATATCTTCATAAAGCTTCGGAAACCTAGGAAATGTGTTTCAATCTGTCGGAAAGCTGAAGAACTTACCATCAAGACTGAAATTCATAAAGCACTCCCCATCAACACAGAAATTGGCGACAAACACGGAGAAGCGTCATGCTACAGAACCCTAGGAGCTGTGTTTGAATCTGTCGGAGAATATGCCAAGGCTGAAGAATATCTTCATAAAGCACTTGCCATCAGCGCAAAAATTGGCGACAAAAACGGAGTAGCGTCATGTCACATAAACCTAGGAAATGTGTTTCAATCTGTCGGAGAATATGCCAAGGCTGAAGAATATCTTCATAAAGCACTTACCATCAAGACAGAAATTGGCGACAGAAACGGAGAAGCGTCATGCTACGTAAACCTAGGAAATGTGTTTCAATCTGTCGGAGAATATGCCAAGGCTGAAGAATATCTTCATAAAGCACTTACCATCAAGACAGAAATTGGCGACAGAAACGGAGAAGCGTCATGCTACGTAAACCTAGGAAATGTGTTTGAATCTGTCGGAGAATATGCCAAGGCTGAAGAATATCTTCATAAAGCACTTACCATCAACACAGAAATTGGCGACAGAAACGGAGAAGCGTCATGCTACGTAAACCTAGGAAATGTGTTTCAATCTGTCGGAGAATATGCCAAGGCTGAAGAATATCTTCATAAAGCACACCACCATCAAGACAGAAATTGGCGACAGAAACGGGAGAAGCGTCATGGCGTAAACCTAGGAAAAATCTGTCGGAGAATATGTGTTTGGTTCTGTCGGAGAATATGCCAAGGCTGAAGAATATCTTCATAAAGCACTTCCCATCAACACAGAAATTGGCGACAGAAACGGAGAAGCGACATGCTACGTAAACCTAGGAAATGTGTTTGAATCTGTCGGAGAATATGCCAAGGCTGAAGAATATCTTCATAAAAACTTACCATCAACACCATCAAAACAGAAATTGGCGACAGAAACGGGAGAAGCTGAAGACATGCTACGTAAACCTAGGAAATGTGTTTGAATCTGTCGGAGAATATGCCAAGGCTGAAGAATATCTTCATAAAGCACTTACCATCAACACAGAAATTGGCGACAGAAACGGAGAAGCGACATGCTACGTAAACCTAGGAAATGTGTTTCAATCTGTCGGAGAATATGCCAAGGCTGAAGAATATCTTCATAAAGCACTTACCATCAAGACAGAAATTGGCGACAGAAACGGAGAAGCGTCATGCTACGTAAACCTAGGAAATGTGTTTGAATCTGTCGGAGAATATGCCAAGGCTGAAGAATATCTTCATAAAGCACTTACCATCAACACAGAAATTGGCGACAGAAACGGAGAAGCGTCATGCTACGGACACCTAGGAGCTCTGTTTGTACATGTAGGAGAATATGGCAAGGCTGAAGAAAATCTTCATACAGCACTTACCACCAACACAGAAATTGGCGACAAAGACGGAGAAGCGTCTCGCTACCTAAAGCTAGGAAACACATCTCAAGCCTTATCGGATCTCTGGTCAAGCATTCAAATTTACGAAAAAATGCTTACTTCTCTAGGAAGCAAAGATCGCCACAATATATCATTTTTTGACAAGAACGCGTCTCCCTATCGGCTGTTTTGTTCATTGAGTTGTTCTTGTGGGAAACCCTATGAAGCTTTACACGCTGCTGAACTTGGACGGGCCAGAGCTCTAGCAGAACTTATGTCAAATCGCTACTCCATTGAAAAAGAAATATCCATCAACCCACAATCGTTTGTTGGCATCGCGGAAGTAATTAAGAAAAATGGCAACAGCACCTGCCTCTACATCTCCTATGACTACGATGACAATATATTTTTGTGGGTTTTGAAACAAAACAAACCGGTAGCTTTCCGAAGAACGAAACTTTGTGAAAGCTATGTTAGCAAGCATGGCAAAATCTCTGTGTATGACCTGTTTGGAAACGAAAGCTTATTAAGAAAATTTCACGTTTTACCTCAAGAGCAATGCGAAGACCGATCACTCTTCTCTTCATTCGCCAACCAACTTACAAACGAATCAAATCTGGAAAATAGTCTCTCAACCTTGCGTCCTCTTTTAGATGAGGGAGAAGTATACACGGACCCTGAACCGCCAACACTTTTTCAGGTTTACAACATGTTGATTGCTCCCGTGAGTGACTTGCTAGAAGGATCTGAAATCATTGTTGTTCCTGATCGCTGCTTCTTCCAAGTTCCGTTTGCAGCATTACACGATGAAAGTAGCCGCTATTTATCAGATTCTTTCAGGATACGAATTGTCCCTTCTTTGACGACTCTCAAGCTCATTCTGGACAGTCCAGCCGACTCTCACAGCGAAACTGGTGCATTGATTGTGGGTGAGCCAAGAGTGACGGATGTGTATTTCAAGGGAGTGTTAAGGTATCTCTGTCCATTGCCTGGCGCGAAAGGGGAAGCAGAGATGATTGCGAGACTACTACCTGAATCTCACCTTTTAATAGGAGAGCAAGCAACAAAGCAGGCGGTTCTTCAGAGAATACCCTCAGTGAGCCTCGTACATTTCGCTGCTCATGGTGATGCCGAAAGAGGAGAAATTGCTCTTACCCCCGCTGACTCCACAGTGGAGTTTCCACACGAAGCAGACTACTTACTGTCAATGACCGACATTTCACAAGTTAGACTGTCAGCCAAACTGGTGGTCCTTAGTTGTTGCCATACCGCACGTGGACAGATCAAAACAGAGGGCGTTGTTGGAATCGCTCGAGCATTCTTAGGATCGGGTGCACGCTCAGTGTTGGTGGCATTGTGGGCCTTACAAGACAGAGCAACAGAGGAGTTCATGGGAAGATTCTACGAAAACCTTGTCCAAGGGAAAAGTGCAAGCGAAAGTCTTCACCGGGCCATGAAGTGGATGCGAAATAACGGTTTCTCAGAAGTGAGGCAGTGGGCACCTTTCATGCTGATTGGGGATGACGTGTCATTTCACTTTGGTGAAGAAAAGTGAAGGTAATTGTTTCCTGACAATTAGAGCCATAGGAAATCTGTCAGGTCTTTTTGTATTACAGTTTTATCAACTTGGGTGCATTTGGTACTTTTAAGTACCAAATAGAAAGCAGTATTTACCCTTAAAAGCCACATTATTGACTACATCTGAAGTTAGCTTTTACTATGACTGAGGTAAAATATCAATTAACCGCTTTTTAACATTCGACCACACCTCTGTACTTATCAGTCAACCCGTGCATATGCGGGACTTTGCATTTGAAAAAAAAAAAAAAAAAACACTAAGCCCCGAATCCCTACAACAACACAGAATGATTTAATTCTTTTCTCTCTTTTCTGATATATGAGGCACAAATAATTCAATATTCTTTTATTTGCTACGGTTCAATATGATCGTGAGGGTTTGCTGACAAACTTTTTTCTTTCTGAATATAATAGGAAGAGAATTCCAGTTCTGAATCCGAACCAAACAGCCCAGGGAAGGTTTTTGTTTGATATAAAGATAATCGGATCAAAAATATTATGGCGGAGATCTAGATCTCAGAATTGATCGAAAACACTGCAAAGTACAAATTATGGACTGTGTATGGAGTCTTGACCGTGACTAGAGGGCTTTTCGCTGACACTGACTGAATTACAGAAGTACACTGGTTCTAGCTAAACTTGGACCAAAGAGGGAAGACCGAGATTCCATAGGTCATCAAGGCAAGAAGTTTCAAACCTATTTTAGCTGTGCACCCTACATTTCATTTGTGATGCCAATTGATTGGAAAGTTTTAGCGGTGAGATAAACTCAAATAAGTAAACCTCTTCCGCCACGATAAAGCCGGAGGATCCCTCCTCCATGTAAAATGAACCTAAATGCCACTTAGCCCAGCTGGAGTCTTTTGTGTTGAGTAGATGTGTTTTATTAATTTTTATGTTTCTTATACATTACTGTTGCAGGTATTACACTAACGACACACCATGGAATAACGAAACAGCCCTTCCGCAGAATTCCAATGAGGTAGTCCCTGGCGGATAATGTAAAGGATCAATCTCTGCAGCATACGAACATTGATTAAAAGAATTACTGTGAAAGAGAACTGACTTGCTTGGCCCAGCGGCTTATCTTTGCCGGCTTAATTATTTTTCCCACTAATCTTATTTTGTGTGTGTGTGTAGGTACCTTGAGTACTCTAATCTCTAAAATGTCTTGAAAAGCTCAAATCACCAACTTTGTACATGTAGAAGTGTACATCGGTAGCTCGGACAATGATAAAATTGTAATTGTGACACGAATAACGTCAGGATTAGCTAATTTCCCTGTCTTTTTAGGTAATTTGCAAAAAAACCCTACTTCCTTAATTAGTCCCTAAGGCTACAAATAAAAAATACTTTTTATGTAAACGAGATTTTCTTTATCGCAAATTGAAGTTTTATTACAATGCAAACAACATTGCAAGGTTTATAGTTTAGTAGAATTGTATATATTTTAGAGCCAATCTTTTTGTGAACATAGAAGCAGTAGTTTTGCAACCTTGCATTATGAAATAAGATTTGACGACTCAATTTAGTCAAATAAGAGCCTTGCGAAACCAACTTGTCCTAACTCCAAACTAGCCCAGTTGTAAACTAAAGGTTATTTCATTGTATAATGTTCATGCCTGAGCATAGGTTAGTATGTTACTATAGAAGACCAGTATTTGCTTTAAGTATGATGCAAAGATTTGGTGGTCCAGTTTTCAGTAGTGCTTTGAGTAGGAAAACTAATTTTAGTAGTTCGAACAGCATGTCGCGTATCCGAGAAGGTCGCACATGGAGGTTTGATTGTAATCTGTAAATAATCTCACCAAGTTTCTTAAAATAAAGCGTATTGACATAGCAAATTCGTGTTTATCCTTAATTATCTATTTGCTCTTTAACAAAAAATATTTCCTACAATATCGGAGAGATTTAGAATCCATTCAGGTCAAACGGCAACGTCAATTTTACGTGACCAAAGTATCATTCTAAAAATAAATAACTAAAATTGTAATTTGTAATTTGTTTTCCCACGGAGCACTTAGAAGTTATTAAGAACTCGCTTAAACGAGTCCGTGCGTTGCTTGCGGATCGAATTGGAATTTGGAAAGGTTGGTTTTTGGAGAGAGGGGAAAACAAGAGCACCCTAAGAAAAACCTATCGGCAAGGAAGAGAACCAACAACAAACCTATCCTTTCATATACCTGAAGCATGAAAAAGGTACCCCTTTCGGTCGGAGCCTCACCATAAAGGCCATTATAGGGATTTCCACCCCCCACCCGGGGGAAGCGAGGCAAGAGCCCTCACCACTGCACCACCCTTGCGCAGTTTTCGTCAGAAGCCGATTCAGTTGTTGTATCTGCACAAAAAAGTTAGTAGTTTCATGTCGATCAGTCTAATCCATAACAATTATTTTGCAAAGTTTGTACCTGTTCATTTCCTATCTCAAGAAATCGAAAATGTCACCTTGGGTCTGAATGTTTGCCGTTTGCCGTGACTCTCGATTTTCCTTTCAACGACTGGAATCCATAAATTTGGTCTCATAAAAGTTACTGCCACGATCACTCCCGTCGATTCGGAATCGTAGAATTACGTTGACGACAAAGTCGAAACATCATGTTCAAGTATTACAATTACTCAAGTTAGGAAATCAACAATCAACAGATAAAAACTGAGAAAATTAAATTATCCTTACGGATAAACCTGACATGAATGTCTTTATTTTGGGGTAGTAAAGATAAACATTTAATGACAAATAAAGAGAAAGCTTAGCAACATGTTTCCAAATGGCGTTAACTGTAAACGTGATTCTAAATCTCTAGACGCCTGCGTTCGCATGGAAGTTCTCCAACGAACCAATGGGGCAGGAATGGTAACAATTCTTTTCGGTGTCCGTTTTACCACCGCTGCTTTACTTCCAAAAATCACTAGCTGATCCTTTTTTTTTAACTACCGTTCATCCTTTGCACAGATACCAGGAAATAAATTTAAGACTTTTCAAGACTTTTTTCCAAAACAATAATTTCTTTTACCAGACTCAAGATTATCAAATAGGTAAGTGATCAACAGAGACCTTAAAAAAACGCAGGAACAAAGATTTTTTCATGATAGGCTGCAAACAAACGGGCGAAATTAAATAAGATTTGACCAAAACGAAAAACATTTCACTCATCAAGCACTATTTGTTGTAGCTTTGAAAAAAAAACTCAAGATTTTTTTTACTATTTTTTCAGACTTCATCTCCATGTTCGAGACTTTTTTCAGGTCTGGAAAATTTCTGAAAATTGATGCTCTGTACGATCCCTGAGTGTTGTACAAGGTATTTCACTCCATAACTTGCACGTGTACACCACCGTTCAGAGAGCTACTTCGGGTCCCATCGGGGATGGATTTTGATTTTCGTCACTATCCAGATCTTGGTAGTACTTCTGATTGGTGAAGACAAATTTTTAACCAATCAGAAGAGTACTACCCAGATCTGGGTAGTGACACGTCATCAGTAAGGAATTTCTGCGCTCGTTTCTCAGACGTCATTTCGCGGGGAAACCAGTGGTGGCGTCGCGAAATGTTGGTTGTTTTCTCAGGCTAAGTTGGGTCAGTTACGAGTGGAAATGCCACGACATTTGATGCGCGTATCATGGCAGAAAGGCTCTACGTACGCGTGACAGAAATTAATGTGCAACGATGCTAAAGTAAGGTGATGGCTAATCCTAACACTGTACTGATGAGACCTGTTTGTATTGGGAAGCAAGTAGTTGAGACTGTGAAGACATACAAACTACTCGGAGTACCTATTAAGGAAGATCTTAAATGGAACTCACATGTAGACTGTATCATTGCTAAAGCCGCAAAACGTCTGATAGGATAGAATGTATTGAGAAGAGAGCACTCAGAATTATATATCCTGAATGCACAGCCTATAATCAAGCCCTTTTAGAGGCAAAAGTCTCATCTCTAGCAAATAGAAGGGTTTCCCTGTGTCGTCGATTTGTCTGTGATGTGGCTAGCAATCACAATAATCATTCCTCATTCTCAAAACTGAAACAAGATCTGTCTGTTATAATACAAAGAACAATAAACAAATTAAGAAGAACTAAGAGAGCCGACGAATTTTTTACATTATGATTACTAGTACAACTGTATACTCCTACTGTAGTTAAGTTGTATCTTTTGGATTGTATACATATCACTCGTTCATTCAATATGTTTTAACTACAAGAAAGTGAAATAAACTATATTTATTATTTATGTATTGGCCTCAAAAGTGTGCATAAACCTTTAGCCAGGCCGGAATGAGGGAAGAAAAAGCCTCCTTGAAATTAAGCTTAGCTTCTTTATAGGGTTAGCTTTTTTCCAGGGTACTTACCCAGAAAACTATAGGCTGAACATTGGCTTACAGGAGCTGTGGCACGAAATGTATTATACTCCGTTCAAAAAGGGAGAGCTGCCAGCAAAGTGAGTAAAACATAAAATAAAGCCTCAAAACACTAACATAAGGTATGAAAACACGGCAAATACAAAAGGACGCATGAATGGACAAACATGAAGAAGATTGAAACGGTTTATAATTGTTTGTTTTAAAAAAGGTTTTTTAAAGTTCGTTTTTGTTGTTTGCAATGTTTGATATACATAATGCTTTTGTAGCCTGCGTGACAGGCGCAAAAAGGGGAGGGAGAGGGGGAGGGAGAAAAGCACGAAAGAGGGGAAAGGGAAGGGAGCGCCTGCTATAAGAGTCGGTGTTTTTGTAATCCGCCCACCATTTTCTCAACTAATCCGATAATGTCACTGTCAATACGTGACCAATCGCAAGTACGGGGCTTCTCAGCATGGTCCGAACTTAATTACTTTGTTTACCGGAAATTGTCAAGTTGAGACGCTTTCTTCAAGTGATATCATGATCGAGCGAAATGAAACATTTTTACTGTTCTTGCTCCCGCAGCAAACACGACAAACATAGACTACGAGCAGTCTCTCATTTTTTTACTGCTCGCAGTCTAC